TCGATCTTTGTCGAGTCGAGTTCGGGCACGATCAGTAATAATATGAGGTTTATTGGATTCGAATGTTCGTTTAGGAATATTTTTGGTTTTCAAAATAATAAATCGATGTCATTCTTGACTTTTATCGAAATATTGTGTGAGATCAATAAGGTTTATACAAGTAATTTTATATAAGCTAATATTTTTTTTTTTAAATCAAAAACTTTCTAGGATGTATACATGAGTTACATACAACATTTTGGTACCTCTTTGATAGAAATATAGGTATGATGGAAAAAGGTAGAAAGGAAAAATATTGAAAGAGAAAAATGTCGAAAATAAAAATATCGAACACAAAAATAAAACAAATGTAGATGAAAAGACATATTGTAAACGAGAGTATATTGAAGTACAAATTTCCCCACCCTCATCTTCAATCTTAAATGTTCATCTTCACCTCATATTCTTGTTTTCGACATTTTTCCTTTCTGTCTTTTTCCATCCATTCAAGCAACGTACTCATTCATGTTTTTCATATCTGCTTATTTTTTTAAAAATGATTAAAAAATAGATATGGTTACGTCAGTTCAGATAATTATTCGACTTTATTCTGTTCATTGAAAAAACAATGCTTCAGCAATTTAATGTAATTCATTTCATAAATAATGATAAGTTTTCTTAATTCACTCCAAGTAAAAGTATTAATAATTGAGGATTTTTATCTACTTCATTACTACAGAATGAGATTCACAGAGGGTATTATTTTAATTCATTATTATGTATCATCCATACAACAGCTTATATATAGAATTATGCCTAAATAGACAAATTGATGTAAAGGCATAAACTCCAAGTAATTTTGTTCTCGTCATTTGTTTATACGATCATTGTAAATGTCGATTAAACGAAACAATGGTTGACAACGATATTTATGATTTGTTTTCCAAGTTTTAATAATTCTATCATTGCCATTAGAGTTTGGGAAAATAAAAGAACAGAACAAATTCATAATTCAAAATATTGATAAAATTTTGAATATAGTTCTTGTCTGTTTGTTTCTACAATATAAATATCAGGCAGAATGAAATGATAAAAAAAAGAGAATATAATAAATATAATAGTTCTTGAAATATATATTATAATAAATGAGACAATTCATGTTCAGTTCATTGTTTCCGAAAAAACATTTCAATTCAGAAATCTTTTATTTAAACGATGAATTTATGTGATTTTTTTTCTCAAGTTCGACCAGATCTTCCAGAAGAATATATTCAAATGATCTTAGTTGAACGATGGATGAAATCTTTACATACATCTGAATCTATTGGTATGTAAATGAAATAGATTCATAAAAGAAAATAAATTTTTTTTATTTAGCTCAACACGTAACTATCTTTGAACAAGATCTTTGTCAATTAGTGGAACAATTGAAGCAATTTGTCTTTCTGGATATTTACCGTTTAACTTCTTGTGAAAAAGTAGACGCTTATCATTCAATGGTTAAAACTCGTTTTCCTAATAGTCGAAGTCATGTTGATATATCAAGATTTTCTCTTTGGCTTTGATTTCCAGTCCCTTATTTGTCTTAATAAATCCAGATTAGAGATAATTATGGTGCTTGACATATCGTTTTTTTTTCTATTGCTTGTGAGAGAATATTCAATGAACTGAAAAATAGTTATATAGAATAATTTAATGGCAGTATATAGTTTTTTTGTTTATCTTTCAAAGCACTTATCGCCAACGAGATTAACAACCATTCGATTTGTTTCACGAAATACCTGCATAACTATTAATAGAATCATATATCTAGTAGCGAATCTAAGATTTTAATTGGCTCATTTCTCTGTCGTTCCTGCTGAGAAAAAAATGAAAACAATTTTCGAAAAGAGGATCGATCGGCCCCAATGTCTCTCTCTCAATCCGCCACCGCATACATTTTTAAACTCATGATCTAGTCTATATCGGAATTGTAACCGTTTCGGTCAAACAAGTACCATAGCGAATCGGATCGACGATTCTCGATTGATGACAACTGCGCAATATATAGTCCAGGAAGAAATTTTAGTAGATCATGAAAAATAAAAAGAAATATATGAGCGAATGCATCAAATCATAGAAAATAAGAATTTATAATTGAATCAATTTTCTCTAATACAATGTTGAAAAAGTGAAGCTCACGAAATGCAGTAAATTTTCAAATTTTTTGGCTATTTATAAACGATGACAATTTTCAGCTAAACTTCTATGTCCATATCTCACTAAAGAGAGGGTCATTTTAACCAATTTTTTACTATAGATTGGGAGTGATAGTTTACTATTACTGATAACAAGTGATAATTTTGCAAAGTAATAAGGTAATACAGTAACAAGATAATTACCAGCAATTAGTAATAAAGTAATATATAAAAACAGATAGTAGAAATGCTTCTAATCATTCATTAGATTTTTTTATCATATTATAATATTCTGATAACGTTAGATTTCGTTTTACCAGCATAAATTATTCTTCATATCGAGTGCAGTGGAGGAAATCATCTCTTTTTGATAGGCTATTTTCTCAAATTACACTCGACCAGAAAGTTTTATTCTGGGCGCTGAAAGTTAGAGAATTCTTTTTTTTAAATAAGCATTTACTGTTTCTTTGTAGCATTAAAATTAGTGCATACCACAAAAACATTAACTGCTCAACTATAAAAATCAGAAACGCATAGAATTCAATTTTTGCGAAGTTAGATTGAGTTCGAAATTGTCTTTCGTGCAGTAGAAGATGTAGATTTTTTTCACGCATCTATTGATGTGTTGGATTTGATAAGCTAAGTTGCTTCTCCTTCGAAAACTACAAAACATCAAAAGAACGCTTCACGTCCATGGAATCGAATTTATCTTTAGTAGTTTTCTAAAAAGTCTGTCTTACAAAAGAACCCTTTTTTGTACAAACAGAAGCGGAATTTCAAGTTCTACAAAATGTACTTCGTTATACAAGCTGATCTCTTTGTCTAACTAAATGACGAGGTTGCAAAGTTTCCCTTGGCATGAAAAGACACCAAACACTGATAATTAGGCATATTTTGCACGCGATTTTTTAATAAAGTAAAGCTTCGTATCAAAATTTGGTTTACTGTCAAAAACTAAAATACATTTTCTCCTTTTCATAGTATGTTTGAATAGCTATAGAAAAATTACTTAATAAATAATAATGAAATTTTATTCTTGTGAAGCGCTGAACAGTTGATGTTTCTGTCGTATGCAGTAATTTCAATGCTACAAAGAAACAGTAAACGCTTATGTAAGAAAAAAAAGAATATATCAATAATATGTGCACAAAATTCTCTATCTCCCAGCGTCAGAGTAAAACTTTTTAGTCAAGTGTAATTTGAGAAAACAGCCTATCAAAAACAGGCGATTTTTTTCTGCCGCACATGTTATGTATGCATTTCCAATGTAGTTAATATAGTTTCTGAGGTTTTTTATATGATGAATGGTTGAAATAATACTCCTCCAGAATCTGGAACCTTAATTTAATCACATGATGAAGTTTCATTCAAGTAAACAAAAATGCGCTCTTTTCTTTTTCCTACTTGATACAATTTTCATCATTAATAATGTCAGATACATAAGTGCATACTGTTATGATTTGTATCGGAAACAATAGATCATATATTCTGTCCTTGTTCATGAACTTCTCATCTGGGTGTGGGTGGGTGTGGATGTGGGTGTAGGTGTGTGAGTGATTAATGGAGAATAGCCCACACCCACACCCACACACACCCACACCCGCACCCCACACCCACCCACACCAACACCCACCCACACCCACACCCCACACCCAACTACAAATATCATCACGGGTTGTGGCACAAGAACCTCAGAGATAATCACAAAGTATGACAGAGGACCTCCCGATAGATCCCAGAGAGTGATACAGACACTGTTATTCCAAAGCATAAGATAAATGGTGAGTCACCAATGTATTGCAAAGTAATGGAACAGTAGAATTTTCATTTAATCAGCAAAAATATATTTTGTTGCGTTTCACATTTTAATCTCTCAAGAGATTGCTCTAACAGGTTTTTTTCTATAGAACTATGAAGAATAAGTTTTTGAAAACAAAACGATACATTTGTTCAGTGGCGTACGCAGAAATTTTTCAAGGGGGGGGGGGGCGGCCATGGCACAAAAAATTTTTTATCACGTGAAAATATTTTTTCCTGTACCCCCTCCAGGACTTTTTCGTCTCAAGGGGGGCCCGGGCCCTCGGCCTCCCTCCTGCGTACGCCACTGCATTTGTTGCAATTGGGATTGTAGTATTAATTGAAGTCTCCATACTAAATCTTTAACATGATAACCTCAAAAGATAAAAACTGATTTTTAGAAGTGTTAAACGGCACTACTTTAAATAAAGATATTAAATTTAAAAACAACTTTCGACTAGTGCCTTGAATTCTAGAATGGATTCATAGGTGTCTGTTGTCATTTGGTAGTTTAAGGGAAACCGAGCAATCTCGTGTATAATCTTATATATTTATTAGTAAAATATCGAGCTAGATGTGCACTTATTATCCATTTAAGATAGTGATTAAATGAGGTCCAAATATATAAGCAAATCCGTTGTACATCATATGAGTCATTTTTACAGGGTTACCCCCGAGCCTAACAGTGTAAGCTTCATATCGCCTCGAACGCCCACTTTTTTCTCAATGTTTTGTTACCATTTTGTAGAGAATTAAAAGTTGTATAACATATCAAAAATTCACGATGGGGTTTTTCGTTTTCGAAAATAAAATCAAAAATACTGTCAAAAATTGACAATTTTGGACACGTAAATTTTGACACTCTCCCATCGTGTTCGATTACAAAATCCCAATAAATAGATGCTATGCGATACTTCAAATAGATCATTTTCTTCAGTTACTCATGCTCTATTTTTCGGTATATTATATGAAAAAATTCTCTAACTTATTGAAGTATAACTGAAGTACACATTTGTGGCATAATTTCTGACTATTTTTTTTTGATAGTGGATGTTGAGTGTCCAAAAGTCAGTCTTTGCTAACTTTACTATAGAGCATCCAAATGTTCTAAAAATTTGGGTTTTTTGGTTTGAGACTTTGACCTTTTAAACGCACATAAAAAATCAATAGATTAATTTTTCTCTAGTGCCTCGGTTCTTTGGTGTCCTCATGGATCGTCTCTTAAATACACAAGATGATAGAGAATTTCGAGTGCTATCAGAATACATAATTAATTTTCTTTAAATGTAGTTTTATATTGGCAATATAAATCTACTGATCCGAACGTACAGAACTTATGCGACAACGGGATACGTCAAATTCAAGTTTAAAAATTATTATAAACATAAAAAACCCAGACATTTCTTTCTCAGATCCTAATAGGAAAAACATTCATATATGCACAAAAAAGCGTCAAATGTCAAAAGAATATTGTTTATTAACTATTCATATTTTTACGATGGTTTTGATTAACGAGTCGGTACCATAGCATATTTTGCTTTAACATAACGAAATAGAATACATGTGGCATAAATAGCAAAAAGAATTGCAATTAATTCAATGATTAATTTCGTCATCTCTTCCGGAAAAGCAAAAAGAATTGCAATTAATTCACCAATTGTTTTCGTAAATTTTTTAGCAACAGTATTGGATGTGTTTGTACCCTTGTCTGCTGATGGTGCTTTAGCTTTGTTTGATAACTCATCGAGACCTATCACAATATTTGAAGCAGTCGTTGCAGTAGCAGCATGACAAGGTACTGTATCGATAATACGAATAATACCAAAGACAAGTGTCAAAACAAATACACATATAAGAACAATAATTAAAACCAACATTATCATTGTATTGTCAAACCTAATTTAAAAGAAAACTTTAATGAAAAAAAATTTTCACCATAAATTTAATTGTATACCATGTAGCATAGATCGCTAAACCGATTGGAATAAGAATGAAACCACCGAGAACAACCATTGTTATAGCATATGGATTTGTTGGTCGTTGAACTAGTTGAAAAATTTCATGAATAATATAACGATATAGTATAGTTGATAGAAGAAATCCATAGAAAACAGTTAATAAAATTCTTATACACCGAATTTGTTGTTTCTTGCTGATAGCCATCGTTTATCTACAAAATGAATGATTCTTATATCATGTTCATGAAATTATCTACGAAGGTAACTGAATAGTAATGACACATATTCTAGTCAATATACTCACAACTCTTTCTCTTATTTCCTTTTTCATTTTTACCCCCACATCAACCTGTGTTACTCCTATAAATACTCTCTCAATTGTCTGTACACATAGAAAGGATCATAAATCTTCCTATTTACTACTTCTACTCAATGCAACAGAGTTTCGCTTGTTTTCTCCTTTCAGCTTCATCTATGCTCTTTTTCTTGCCCTATGAATTGTGATGGATGAGATGAAGAATAGTTGTTAATTTTCTCTTATACAGTCGATGTATTGATCGACAATCGTTTATGTCTCAAAGAAGAATCGAATGTAAATTTACATTTCGTCATGCTGTTTATAACAGTCACCAAATAACAAAAAAAAAGATTTCTTTTGTTTTTCTTTTCAACAAATGCAAGGAAAAGAGCAAAGCGATGAATAATAACACGAAATAAAAATGATAAAAGTAAATCGTCAGACGGAATTTCCGATTGATCGTTATAGAACAAGATAACGCGACGCAAACGTCGCTAACCCTCTACTGAACGGATGTAATTTTGTTGAACATATGGTACTCAAGAAGAGGAAGATCAGAACTAATGTCCTGCTATGCACCTATGAAAGAGTAAATAGTTCTCGTCGCCATGGCCCGCTTCGTAATTGAGTGGGTTTGATTTAACCATCGTATTCCTTCGTTTACTGGATTCTGTTTTGAAGACTATCACTGAACACACACGTTAATACAAAAGAGTTCTTTATAATCTTGCAAAAGATGGCCATTTTTTTTTAAAGACCGGACCTTTCTATTGAGACGCTGTAAGTGAACCTTTAGCAACAACTCACCACACGTCGTTTTCCTCCATACACGAACTGCCACTCTCAATAGTCCGATTTCGCATTTGATCAGAGTAGTGTTTCCAGTAATGCTTTATTTTCTTGTTCAGGACATTTTTAGTAGTCCGCAAAAATCTATGAAAATGAATTTCATTTTCTGATGTTGACTATGAACTCTGTATCGTGAATTTAATACGATCAGTAAAATTAAAGCCATTATGGTCGATATTTTAGGTAGTGTAGTGGGAATGGAATTCATAAGAATAGTATACTAATTTTCGTGGTCTCTATTCTAGCGAATTCTTTTCTCATAGTTCACTCGAGGTCTATAGAAATTTGTTTCATAAAGTCTTTTCTGGGTGGGGTGTGGGTGTGGGTGTGGGT